GAAAAACCTTGTCCTTAGAGGTGGAGCCAATGCCTTGAGGTCAGACGAGGCGGAAACCTCGTCCTCGGAGTTGGACGAGACGTGGCCCGGCCCCTGGGGGTCGGACGAGGCGGAAACCTCATCCTCAGAGTTGGACGAGGCGTGGCCTAGCCCCTGTGGGTCAAACGAGGCGGAAACCTCATCCTCGAAGTTGGACGAGGCGTGGCCCGGCCCCTGGGGGTCGGACGAGGCCGCAGTTGCATCCTTAACCATCGGATGAGGCGACGTGACGCTCATTTAATCGTTCGGCTCGGATACCCGGGTATAGATATCCGACAGTAGGTCACCGATTGTTTATAGTTTAGCGTTTAGGAAAACACTACATGCATAAATGAGCGATAAATACATATACATTATATTTCAGCAACCATGAAAAGAATTTTCTTAATGACTCATATATGAATGATACTACTAAATTATTAAGATTATTTTAATATCCTCAGCATATAATTTATGCAAATTGTTACTTGAGATAAACTTACAGTTTTACATGAAAAGTTTGTAATATCTATATTGATAGTATAATTATTATTACTAATTTTTTATAATAAAGTAATACTACAACACATGTAATTATTTGATAAGAAAGATCCAACATCTTGAGAGGTGGATGAGGTTAGTAAATGCTAAAGGCACCTGTGACTTTCTTGTTCTTTAAGATTCTTTTGGAGTATAAGTGATTATTATAAGGCTTAAATATTGATACCTCTATAGGTCTTTCTAGATCTCACATCAAGCTCTATACATGGTGCATGTTTAAATGACCATTTATGCCATAATGCCTTAGCTAATTTTCCTAATCTTCTATTAAGCACTTTGGTGGATAGAGCGTTAGTCGATGAGTCTCAACTCAATTATGCCTTCAACTAGCTCACACACTGCATTTGGTCGGTTGGGAATATATATAGCCCCAACACAACAAACTATTTGTTAGGCTCAGACTGCATATCTTTAGTGAGCACTGGAGATGTTTATTGCACCACCGGAGGTTTCCGGTGCCGCCACAAATACTAGCTGTTGCAACAGACAGTTGAACGCCATATATTTGGTTTTTGGTAATTGAGACAACTTGTGGACTAACGAAGCTAGGTTAAGACACACCAAGGTGGTGGAAAAGGCTTGGAGATGGATGAAGGGTGATCAATCCAATTGGAGCAAGCCACACATGGAAAAGAAGAAAGAGAAAAACAAAATCCTATGATGATCAAGGCAAAGGTATATGCTAGGGTTTTGTTTTTGCCGGCCAAGACCTAATAGAGTGTGTGGTCAGGTTTAGGATAGATAGCCATACTATTAAGAGGGAAACTCTAAAGTCTAATCGGTTATCTAAGTGACACTAGGTATGAAATGACTTTGCATATGCATTAGACCTAGTGACATTATGAGATGCAAGTGAAAACCCTTTGGGAAGTTGTTTGAAGAATTCTAACTCAACTGCACATGTGTTGGGCACTTGAAGGAGTTAGCACATTTGAAAAAGTGGTCAAAATGGAGCTTTTTGAGGTGCCTCTGTAGAGGGAATCAGACAATGTGCTACAAAGAGGGTGTTGGACGAAGTCACTTAGTCGAGGCTAGGGTTTGCAACCAGACATGTCCGGTGCTAGCCCACTAACAAGCACCGGACAAAGCGCTACACAATAGAGTCATTGGCAGGCCAATGGCTAGTTTTCTGTGGGCCATGATTTGAGTTGCCACCAGATTTGTCTGGTCGTGCTAACACCGAGCACCGGGCAAAGCACTAGGGTGTCTGTTTCACGTAACGGTCAGTCCGGTGATGGTGTTCAGTGGGCACCAGACCAGTTCGGTGCCTACGTAGTTAGCCCAACAGCTAGTTTTTGGAGGATGCCTATTTAAAGGTGTTGCTGGCTCTTTGAGAGCTCTCTTGGCATTGTAAGCAATACAACACACTTGTGAGCCTCCAAGAACACCTCCCACTCATCTCTTGACTTGTGCTTGATCCAAAGTGAATTTGGGAGAGATCTAGTGCATTTTGCTTTGTTGTCTTATCTAGTGGCACTAGTTCTTCGATTAGGCTACGGTTTTCTTTTTACTCTTGGTGGTTTCCACCACCTAGATGGCTCAGAGCAGCTGTGGTTGTTGAGGGGAGTGTTGATGATTGTTCTCTGCCTCCAACCGGTGATTTGTGAGAGGTATGATCCCACCTCGCTGAGTTGCAATGGGATACTCTAGTGGAATGCTCGTGGCTAGTTGGAGTGTACCATGTGCTTGATTCTTGTGGCACCCAAGTTGTGGGTCTACCTTGTCACGCTAGTTAGCACACGAATCATCACTTGGGGACTCGAAACAACATGGACGTATGTTGCTAGCAAGCAACCGAACCACAAGGATAAATCATTGTGTTGATCACTTGTCCTCGTTGGTTTGCTACTACTACTACTCACTCTTGTATTTACTTTCTTATTGTGCTTGTGAGTGGTAGTTGCTTGATTTAGCTAGCTAGAGTAGTGTAGTTGTAGTTTTAGTAGTAACTAGTTCTTAGTTGCTCTCTAGTTTGTTTATGTAGCTAGTATAGCTTGTGTGTGGTGTTGTGATTTAGACTAGAAATCTCTTGCTACTAGAATTGTGTAGGGGCTTGATTGGGTGATTTAGAGCTAGAGCAAGTAGAGGCTATTAGGATCATTTGTTGTACTAATCACCTTTGCTCTAGTATTGTGCTTTGGAGAAGAATTTTTTATAGGCTATTCAATCCCCCCTCTCTAGCCACCTAGATCCTTTCAACCATTGTTGATTTGACTCTCCGGTGGTTTCTTCGATGCCCACATCGGAGATTTCTGATGTAAAGCCCAGGACTTCAAACCTTCACTAGATAGCACATGTCCTTCCAGTGCTCACCTGATACATGCACTGGAGAGCTCCCATGCTCTTTATCTCCTCCACCACGCTTTTGCACTGTTCACTGTTTCAAGCTCCCACGCCTAAGCTTAATGTTCACCAGAGAGTTTTGGTGCACGCCTTGTAGCTTGCCTTGGACTAGGCTTCACCCTGTTTATCCCTTCATGCACACCGAGAATCTCTGGTGCACCCCTCCGATGCTTACTGAGAGCAATTTCAGCGTGTCTTTTTGTCCGGGCTTTTTCTACTTGATGTCTTGAGCTTATTTCTTGTCTTCCACGATCTTTATGGCAGTCATTATCCTTTGCTTGGGGTGTTTGATCACTTTATCTTCATCGTCGCCTCGCTCAAGTCCATCCTTGCAAGTTGCATCCATAGGACTAAAACCTTGTATACGCAAACAAAGTTAGTCCAAATGGTCATGTTGTTATTCAATCATAAAAAACACTGATTGCCCTTGCTAGGAACAATTTTTTCTTACAACATCTAGAATTTTGCAGCTTACAATGCAAGACTGCACTGATTAGGATGCATTCTAAAAGGAGCAAATATGAAAGAACGATACAAAACGGTGTGCCGGAATTGTAATAAGCCTATATATAGCTTATTTTGGTAGCTTGAGGGAGATGCGTTTCCAATAAGAACCTTAGGAAGTGGTTAGCTAATAGCTAGTGACTAAACTAGTAGTCACCCTTTTGGTCCTACACTAATGTTATAGTATGCGATCACTCATCCTTGGATGTACCTTGTGTTTGCTTTGGGGGCAAGACAGGGATGAAGTGGGATATTAGGGATGGGAGCATGAGGGATATATCCCAATTTGTTTCAGTGTTTGGTTTGAGGACATGAGGGATGGGAGCATCCTCAGAGAGGAATACTCCTCTAGATTCGGGGCTCCCTTCGTCTCTAAAAAATTTAGTTACACACTCGTCCCTTCAGACGGTGTCTGGTTTGGTCCGTTGTCGCCTCCTCTTCCTCTTTGCATGTGTGAGCGCTCCGGCAAATGTCTAACGTAGCATAAAGTTATGTATCCTATTCATCCCCATCTCTCCAACAAAACACAAAACAAAAATGTCCCCATTCTCCTAACTAAACACAGAGACGAAACCATTCCATCTAAAAAACTGAAATGCATCCATCACATCCCTCTTATCCCAAAACCAAATGCACCCCATGAAAGATTTGGCCCTTGAAGCTTCACGGAGCGAAGTTTCTTGTCCCCATCCTCCTAACTCGTGTTGGGCGACGTCTTCACCGAGCGGCGTGGAGCTCGCCACCTTGCGCTCAAATACGTTTGTTATAAAGAAAAGCAGGCATGCTTCATCGCTTCCTGCATCCAAAGAACATTTGTATCCCAAGGACAAGGAGACGCAGTGAGTCCCACCGACAGCAACTCGACGCAACTGGAGGCCCGAATTTTTTATTTTTTAGCCCTTTTTTGAAAAAAAATCACAAATATGCCCCTGGAGGAAAGATTTCAAAATCTGAACCCTTACCTCGGTGCCATCGTTGCTGGCGCCGAGCTTACACGTCTCGGCGCCAGCGTCCGTGGCGCCGAGCTCTTGGGCTCAAAGCAGACGCGGCGGTGACATGGCAGGCAACTCGGCGCCAGTAACCCTGGCGCCGAGCTCGGCGCCAGGGTTAATGGCGCCGGACATTTCTTACGTATGGCCCCAATCCTTTCTCTCTTCCTCTCCCTCTCTCTCTCGCACCTCCCTCGCCCGAACAGCGAACCGCCACTGCCCCCGCGCCCTCTCCCGCCCCCGACTGCCCGAGCCCGCGTGGCCTCGCCTCGGCCATGCCACTCGACGCCGCGGCCCTGCCCTGCCCCACCCGTCCGCGCCCCGCGCCCTCGCCACGGCCCGTGCCCACCTCGCCGCCATCGCGTCGTCACACATGCTCGCCAGACCAGCCATCGCCATTGGCACGCTTGCCACTGCCACACCACTCGGCGCCAGCTGCTGGCTTCGCTTCCCCCACCTGCCCTCGGCCCTCGCGCCCTCGCCGGCCTGCACGTGACCTCCCAAACCTAAGTTGTCCTTCCGGTTTACCCTGCATAGCGGGCTAGCGGCGGCGCCTCCTACCGAGAGAGAGCGAACTCCGTAGCCATGGTGTGGGAGGAATACGGGGATGAGGTGGTGGCTTCGGAGGAAGAGGAGGACGTCGTGGTGGGGCAGATGCCGATGGTGATGGTGCCAATGCATATCAATAAGAGGGCCCTGAAGAACAAGGCGCTCTCTGTTACGCTCGACAAGAAAGCGCTCAGGTGCGGCTACCTCCTTTGCCTTGCCTTGTCCCTCATAGCGGCATACACGAAATTCCTATTGCAAAACATGATTATAGTGGTTATTTTTGTTGCGAATTGTGTCAATCGATGCATTATATAGCTGTGGTACTGTGGTTCAAGGGATTTGACCAATTCGTGGCCGAGACCTTGGTTTGGCAGGGATTTCGTGACTGGGTTCCACAAGAGGAAGAAGAAGAGAAGAAAAGCGGCACACAAGATTTTGTAGGAGAAGGAGAGGAAGAAGAAAATACAGGACCACAAGAGGGTAAGAAACACTTCGTCATTGTAGATTTCAGTCATTGTAGGTTGTTAGAACCGATTCAACAAGTCCCAAAACCAAATCCATGTGAAAATTGAAATGGAGGCACCAATTTAATGCTTTTGTTTGGTTGGCAAGTGAATGGTTGGGATAGTTACTTGGAGCCAATTCCAGCCCCAATCTAATAACCAAATGCTACCTAAGGATTTTACAGATATCCATGTAAAGGTCATAGGGATGTCTATGAACAGTTTAATGTCATTTTCAGGTGGCTTGTGTTTCAGTAATTATACATGAGCACACTACTTGGTTGTTGCCATTAGGTCTTTCTCAGTGCTGTTATTTTGTTACCGAGGAAAGAAGAGGAGATTGCTCTATATGGTAAAGTACTGTCATCGGATAACAATGATGGTGCTGGATTAGAAAATGAAGATAACAGTGATGATGGTGAGGATATGGAAAATGACGAACCTTTGTCTGGTGAGTACCTGAACTAAATTTGTAAACTACCATGTCACACTATGATGTTTCTAGAAGTCAAACCTCATTCTCTGGTAATTGATCGTGCTTCCAGAAATCAAAACCTACGAAGATGATGGGACCAGAATTATAGTCACCACCAGTGAAATTACTCCTGAAGACGATGACATCAGCCCGAAAACTATCAGCCCTGTGGTGACGAGCTACACCAACAAGAATCCTAGCTCGTTTGCCAAGAACAACAGTTTAGGTGTGAAGAAGAAGCCACAGAAGAGAACGTTCAAGAGCAAGAATAAAGCGAAAAAGGGTGACAAAAATCGGGGTGCTGCAAAGGGTAAAAGGAAGGGCAAGGGAAGGAAGTAGTGTTTTGTGAACCCTCTGTAGAAATAATTGTATGCTGTGACTGGCTGTGGACCTGTGGTTAATCTCGCATCATCTGATCTGCACTTTGTTTGCTGATATATCGATGATCATTTGTTCTGCAAACAAATTGTGATGGAACAAATTTGTTATATCGATGCTCAGTTATTGAGTTGTGCTACATGTCTGCTGCCAGTCTTAAGTAGACAGTGTCTGCTCCTTTCGGCTAATCTCCCTGCCATGTTTTCCTTATCTAGACCAATTGCTGATGTGCTCATATCCGGCCAATAATAGCTCCTGAGTCCTGCTATATATACAAAAACGGGTGATTATGTTTTGGACAAATACGAGTATGCAACAACTTTTACGAAATGGGACAGCAAGGGCACTGTATAGCTATCCGAGCTCGGCGCCAGAGTTACTGACACCTAGCTGCCTTCCATGTCACCGCGCTTCGAGCCCAAAGAGCGACGTTACGCCGAGATTTAGTGTAAGCTCGGCGCCCAGTAACGCTGGCGCCGAACTAAGGGTCCAGATTTTAAAATCTTTCCTCCATGGGCATATTTGTGAATTTTTTTGAAAAAGGGCTAAAAATAAAAAATTCAGACCGGAGGCACAAGAAACCGCAGCATTGCCGTTGCCGTTACAAGCGGCGCCATTTTTCACATTCAGGGGGGGGGGGGGGAGGGTGTCAGTACTGCTACTTGAGCGAAAAGTACAGGAATAAAGCTGTGGTAACTGGCTATTTCGGAGATCTACTGCGTATTTTATAATAGTAAAAAAATAACAATTCATATTTCGAAGGACGTCCGTCACACTGTTGCTAGCGCATTACCCATTATGTGAGCATGACGGCACGAAAGTAGTTAGCAAGTCGGGTCGCACAAGGTCTCAACAACCATAACCTCGTCTGACAAGTAATAAGGACGCGAAAATATAAACACTGGTCACAAGCGGATTAAGTTGCTAACAATTCCAAGCGGAGCATCAATGACAGTAGTCAAACATCAGGTCCGTCCACAGCATCATCAATCTCTCCAGAATGGCACTTTTCTCTTCGTCTGCTTGAAGCCCTGCGCATAAATCATTAAATCCTTAGTGCCAATGGTGATAAAACAAGAAAGGAATGTTTTCAAGTTTTATGTTCTAGTTGCTATCCTCATCAAAGAAAATTCATTTTGGTGTCTTATTACATAATAGTTCCACGTGTGATTATTTATTTTATGGTATATGCTCCAAAATATACTGACATTTGGAACATTCTAGGTGAACTCACCCCCCATCAAACACTTCCCATTGTGATTCATTTGTACCCATAACATGTAACTGCAGCATACAGAAGCAATATGGCACTGTTATCTACTAAACAAATTTGTTCCAGTGACAAATGTTCCTAGCATTTGAATATGAATTATGTATCTTTGTTTCTTTTGTTACAGAAGTGCACATGTGGAAACTGAAAAATGAAAGACTATCAATGCAAACCTTGAAATTGCACAGAAATGTCCAAGTATTTTAACAAAGAGAGGTTGTCTTAAGTATTAGCATCTACTAAGACTTTTCAAAAAAAGAAAGGCTTACAATGTATTCAATTTCAAATTATACTGCAAAAGAATATAATAAATCAAATGCGAAACAAGGATGACATTTACGCAACGTGGACATTTTAGATAATGAAAAGTTGATACTTGACAGTCTAAATAAGCATACCTTCTTTAAATCTGAATATAGACCTTCCACCCTTTTCTCTGTCTCCTTAGTGAATGACCATATTCTGTTAGTAGTAGAGTTCATCGTGACCCATTCATCAGCTATAACTTGAACCTGCAGTAGTATGACCATGAAATGACCATCTGAAAACAAGTACCTACAGCTACAACCATATTTACAGCACAACAGCACATAACCATGAAAGTTGTAAAACAAAGCTTTGAAGTGCCAAAGGAGCTATAAGGCAACTGGATACTGAAGCTTAAAATCCCTAACTGTACTATGATGTCCTTTCTAGGATGCGGTGGATGAAGATGCTGGAAATAAGGTCAACATTTTCAACACTGTAAGAACAGATCGATCATAAAATTCAGCGTTGCGTTAAAGATTTTCAGTTCTTGCATATGGTGTTCTGGAGGGTATTATTTATGAAGATAGTTCTTAGGGCTGTAATTTTCTTCTGGTTCTACAAATTTTGAAGGGATTCCTTCAAGTACAATATTGGTGACCCGAACTCCATGCCAATCAAGTTCTGTTCATTAAGGTAGAATGCATATTATTATACTTCCCAGTCTAATTTTCCCCTGAAAAGCACTTTGACCAAAAGTATGTCATATTGGTTCTGGATAGCAAAAGGAGCATAGATGCATATCACTTCAGAAGAGGGAAACGGGGTTCCTTCATAACCACTGACACCAGTTATAAACAGGCATAACATACCCTTAAGTCTCCCCATTAATCATCTTCCAAATCGTGCTTGTCCCACCAGCCCATTGATCACTGGGGTTGGTATTACCACTTCCACCCACCAGCATGCTGTCACAGCCAATAGGATGCTGTCCACTGATAAATCGGTAATTGGACTGAGATGTGGTGTGGCCACGGAGAGCAATGTGGCTGAGGTATGGTGTGGTGCTGGTGGAAGGCAGTGGCATGCTCAATGTGTGGTTTGTGTTCACAGCTGCAACAAGCTTGGTTGGTGTGGGAAGTAGAATGAGATCAAGTCGTAACTATGGTATAGGACTCTACCCGGAGGGAGGGAGGGAGAGAGATCGTGGTCACAGGGATCTGGGACAATTCCGCATTCCGTGAGCCAGAAACACTGTCCTGATTCACGGGTCGAAATCAATGATGGTCACTGTCCTGTTGCCACATGGAATGAGATGTATCAAGGAATAAAAGGGGGAGAGGGGAGATATGGAGGAGGATGCTGTTGGTAAGGGGAGGGGGGGAGATATGGAGGAGGATGCTGTTGCTAAGGTGTGGGAGGCACCCAGACCCAGCACTGATGAGGACCATCGACCACCAGCCACCGGGTGACAGCACCACACTGGTGCAGTAGCAGCCACAGCGGGATACGGATGTCTTCAGTGAAACTGAAACTACTAGAGCAAAGATGAGAACAAGAGCAGACGACTTTTACCCAGATGGAAGACCAGTTTTGGCCAGTGGTGATGGATCTAGTGCTGGCAGCATTGATGGAGTCGGGACTTGGGAGCAGAGAGAAACGAGGAAGAAAGGAACTACTGGCAGCATGCATTCGCAAAGTGAGAGACTAGAGGTTATGCTCTTAATAACTTCTTAGGGCAGAACGTTAGGTCGGCTGGATGGGCCAGAGTGCAGAAGTCCAACTAATATTTACCTTTTCTTTTCTTTTTTTAACTTTACAATGGATCTTCTACATCTACTTCTGTATTGCATAGCCGTATTATATACCTCATCGAGCTTGGCTGAATGGGCCACTGTACACAGCTCAATTTAAACTATCTTGTTCTTTTTATTTTTTATTACTTTGTATTAGTCTTTTCTAACTACTCATACATGGCATATCAAAGCTCATTGACTCAGATTAGTTGGGGTCACTCAATTCAAACTAACCCCTTCAACCCGTGTTTTTAGATACCCACAACCCACGTCCCTCGAACCCGACCTGCCCGGGCAACCTAAATTTCTGGTGGCTGAGGGAGATTGGATCCCTATCGCTTTCTTATTGAAAAGGTGAGAAAAGTGATTCAACGTGGAATAATCTATAGTTTGCGACGAAGAGTGGGGAAGGCTAAAATAACATTTTGGATGAGAGGTGGTAGCTAAAACTTGCTAACTTGATTAAGAACAACTCTTGTAGATAGATAAAAAGGATTATTGCTAAGTAAGCTGTTGCCGCAGCCTCCTAGCCCTCTACCTCCTCATGTTTTTTTTTTTGCAGTACTAGGACAGGCCCAACATTACAGGTAACAATGGTGACGAGAAGCACTGCAACAACTTCATGTACCACCGACCACCACCACGATCAAACTACCGCGTGACTATCATAGTGATGGTGGCGGATGGCACAAGATGGCGGGTCAATATGCTTCACTTGAGAAATGTCCCTTTATTAATTTGTTAGTAGCACTTCTTTCTATTAATACAATGACGCGCAGCTCTCCTGCGTGTTCGAGAAAAAAAAATTGTTGGTAGCAAAATGGTTTTTTGCCACTGACGCTGTGTGAGTATTGTGTCTGAATTTCCAGAAAAAAAAATTGGGTTGCAATTGAAAGATATGTAGTTGACAAATGCCAAAATAGTATCACAATAGTGACATTATTGTCACACCAAAGCTTATCATTATATTGCTTACAATATATAAAGTGGACCTAAATTTCAACAACACAAGATCTGAGAAAAAATGGTTAACCAGATAGATTAAAATTTTAAGGTGTATTACCACTTTACCAGACAAAAGATAAAAATAAAACTTGTAAATAAACAAGTAGCACATAAAAGGTCATGCAGCTAAAAGGTTCCTTGATAACCTATAGAAAGATACCTTCTTGATAGCTGAATGCAGAGCTTCGACCTTTTCTGTTGTGTCCTTTGCTACTGTCCATATATCCGAGTTCATCTTTCTTGATCCATCTTTTAGAATTTGAACCTATTTCATAAATCATAACTCCATAAGGTGAATAGCTGAAACAGCTTTCAGAATGGAGGCCCAATAGCATATAAAAGAACAGCTGGAATAATATTTTCTTTGCCACACATAACAAGCAATATAAGACGCGTACAAAATACAACAACAACAACAAAGTCTGTCAGTCCCAAGCAAGTTGGTGTAGGCTAGAGTTGAAACCCATCAAGAGCCCCTAGTCACGGTTCAGGCACATCAATAGCTGCTTTCCAAGCACTCTTATTCAAACATAGATCTCTAGGTATATCCCAAGCTTTCAAATCTCTTTTTATTGCCTCCCCCCATGTCAATTTTGGTCTACCTCTACCTCTCCTCACATTATTAGCTTGGCTTAGGACTCCACAATGCACTGGTGCCTCTGAAGGTCTCCTTTGGACATGGTCAAACCACCTCAACCGATGTTGGATAAGTTTTTTTTTCAATTGGTGCTACCCCTAGGCAGTCACGTATATCATCGTTCCTAACTCGGTCCATTCTTGTGTGACCACAAATCCATCGCAACATACGCATTTCTGCAACACTCAGTTGTTGAACATGACGAATCTTTGTAGGCCAACATTCTGCTCCATACAACATAGCCGGTCTAATCGCCGTTCTATAAAACTTGCCTTTTAACTTTTGTGGTACTCTCTTGTCACAAAGAATGCCAGAAGCTTGTCGCCACTTGATCCACCCTGCTTTGATTCTATGGCTAACGTCCGCATCAATATCTCCATCTCTCTGTAACATCGATCCTAGATAACGAAAGGTGTCCTTCTTAGGCACTACTTGACCTTCTAAACTCACATCTCCCTTCTCCTGTGCAGCTCCGCCAAAGTCACATCTCATGTATTCGGTTTTAGTTCTGCTTAATCTAAAACCTTTAGACTCAAGGGTCTGCCGCCACAACTCTAGTTTCCTATTTACTCCCGCCTGGCTTTCGTCCACTAAGACTACATCATCAGCGAACAACAAGATGCGTACAAAATAAGTTAGCAAAATTAAAACTCTACTGAAACAGATAAAAGACAGGTAGGTGGTTTGCTGGATTTGTAAAAAATAACACTTATGACGATCAGGCATTACTAATTTTTAAGGTTCGCAAAAGGTGTATCAATGAAGAAAACGAAAATCAAAGCAGCGATGTAAACAGTAGCAGTGCATATATATAAATATCAAAAGCGTGCAATATTTTTAGGCATATATGAAGATTAAATAGTTTTGACCCTGTAGACGAGATGAACAGAGTATCCAGCTAATATTTGAATAATTCTGGTGATGTATTCAGATTCTAATAGAGCTTTTAAGAGGCAATCTACACAAGAAAAAATTCTGACTCGGACAGTTGTTTGTCCAAACTAACCAGTAGTCCTATTTTAGTAGGAACATGAGCAAATACATCCAACATTTTTCTGAGTATGGGAGGCACCTCATTTTCCATTGCCTTGATACTATCACCAAAATATGAGCTGCATAATGATTCCTGAATCTGCATGAAAAACAGCACAAAATACATGCTATTTAAGAACCTCTTTTTCTTTTAGGAACATAAATGTTAAATGTAAAGAAGTTGGCTAGTTTCATTCTACTCACAATAAAACAATAAGCAGAAACAACCAGATTTTATTTAGGTTGACCAAACCATAAGCTTACTAACTCATATTCAGCTTCGTTGTCCACTACTACAGCAATAATGAAGAAACTAACATTGTTTTTGTGACAGGTCTTTGCCTAATGCCTAGTACATGTGCCTGTATTCCCCCTCCGCACCCACCCATAAAAGACCAAGATCCAATCAAAATGTCACACGAATGGAGCACAGAAAATTTAACTTGAACAACTCCCACTTTTTTTTTAAGGTAAAGGCAGGAGCTCTACCACTCAATTAAGTAGGGAAAAAAGAGTTTTATAACTCACACATTTTTCATCAATACAAAATCTCCACTGCCTTCGTGCTACATGGCAGCAGCAGCTAGGACAGCATATTATGATTTCTTGATGCAGTAGCACTATCGCTGAGCACATTGTACCCATCTTACACCTAGACCATCTAATTATCTTGACCAACCATCACCAAAATTCAAGCTTGGAGGGTGCTTGATCATGATTTAAATGTATGAACTAAATTGTAGAATCAGAATATTTGTTTGTTTATTTATACTAGTAATAAAAATTTGTGCAATTTGGTAAGGTAGTAACACTCAATGACTACCCGAACTCCATGGGATTGATGAGGTACAATCCAGAAGGAACAAGTCACCAGACACACAGAGCATACCTTGATATTTTCCTGCTCATTGATCAGAGACTGGATATCAAGTTCCATTGCTCTCACTACACGGTCATTCTCCTCCTCTAAAGGACCAAGTTTCTCATCCACCACTTTAGATTTACTATCCCAAAGAGATTCTGCAAGCATAGTTCAAAATATATCAGCATACAAAAGAGAAAAAAAATACAAGAAACTCCGTTAACATCATAGGACAAAGTAGATTACGCTTGGAATGTAGGAATTTCACTGGAATTAGTTTAAATTACGCTTAGAATGTAGGAATTTCACTGGAATTAGTTTAAATTTCACACAAAAACACAGGATATGGGTAAAATTCCATCTTCCAAACGGGGCCTAAAAATAGAGTACAGTTTTTTAATAAGCAGAATTCAATAAAAAAACATTAACCCTAAAGACTAAAGTTCAGTTGTTAAACTATCGCAATCGCAAGACTGTCAATCGCGAATCACAAAATTAGAACACGGGTAAACAAGCCGCATGCTCTGATACGAACAGGATTAGCCCTAACAGGACATGGAGCTTAGGGTTTAGGGTTCTCCCAACATACCAAGCCGCGCCAGCTGCAGCTTAAGCTGCTCGACCTCCGACCGCAGCTCCTCGCGGAAACCGCCGTCCTCATCCCCGCCACTGGAGACGGAGGCGACCGTGGCGGCGCACTCCCTGGCGTGGTCACGCGGGAGGGCGAAGATGACGGCGAGGAGCGCCGCCGCGACGGCCAAAGCGGCACAGGAACGGCGGAGGTGTCTGGCGCTAGTGCTGTGGCGCCCGGACGCCAGGCGGAGGCCGAGGGAGACGAGGCGAAGCGGGAGGAGGAAGGCGACGACGATGGCGAGGAGCACCGCGTCGACAGTCATTGTCGTCCGTGGCACGGGGGGAGAGCCCCCGCTACAACTGCAGATGGGTTTTGTGAGCCGTGGTCCAGTTGACCAATTCACACGCCTGACTTTTATTTAGGGTACCTTTTATTTAAGTAATAATATACAGAATTAATCAATCACGTCATCGTCATCTCATCTCATCCTGTCTTTTTTTTTTTATTTTCAATCGTGATAACAGAACTGAGAGTTTTGTTTTTACAGGGAGTCTCCTGTAACCTACTCCCTCTCCCTAAATATCTATCGTTTTCGCTTTCTGAGAAATAATTTTGATTAAATATATATTAAAAAATATTAATATTTATGGTACATAATTAGTATCATTGGAAAGATTTTTTAATCTAGTTTTTTAATAAATTTATTTGGAGAAAAAAAATACACGTATTTTTTATAAGTCGAGTCAAACTTGCAGCACGTACATCAACAACGACAGTTATTTAGAGACGGAGAAAATAAACTATAATATTTGTTCGATCCAAATGTGAGATGTCGTGTCATCTGAGCCTTTCATAATTTGAGGGTACAAGATTTATAGGATTTTAACATTCAGTAAGTTACGATTTTAGCATTCTCTTAATCTCAAGATTTCCATTACATAATTAACCTTGCATTTTATGGACTCCTAACGGACGTTGACTAATATTTTTAATACGAAGCCACTTGCAGGAGATATAAGGCTTTGAATCGTACATATAAGATTTTTGACATTCAGTAACTTATACGATTTCCCCTTCTCTTAATTTTAAGATTTTCTTGTTTTTTTCAATTACATAACTAACCTTCGTTTTTATGGGCTTCTATCGAACGTTGACTAATACGAATCCAGTTGCATAAGATATTTCGCTTTTACTCCTATTTAAGTACTCATAAGTCATACTAAGCAGAATTCATGAATCCTAAAGGGCCAAGAAACTCAAGGCCAAGCTTCTCTTCGTCCAGCTTTTTTCGCACTATTATTGTTAGTCAAACAATAGGAAAATTGTATTGAATTGACAATCGGTGCTATCGAAAATAGGAGTGACTATGGATTCGAACCATAGCACGTGGTTTCATAAAATCTGTACGATTTTCCCAATCTAAATTAAGAGGGTTTCTATAAAAATCTTGTTCAGCATGTTCTATTCAATATTGGTATGAGAGAATCTGACACGATATTCTTAAAAACAAAAAAGAAAAAGCAGAACCAAATCAAGATGATATGGATCATATCTTCTTCTTGCGTCAAAGATCTTACCATTTCATGAAGAACTGGAGCTAATTTTTTTTTAATTTCTGTTTGATGGTTTCTATCTTGTGTCCACGTCCTTTTTTCATGACCTCCAAACATGAAATGGACAAATTCTTTCTCATCGCACTATAAAAGAGTGAGCTTTTTTATAGAGGCTCTTTCTCTGTAATACGAGTTCAATGTAGAAGTCGCCTCATCATCTTCCATCATTTGAGGATATAAGACTTTGACACTCAATAAGTTACTCTTTAAATTCAAGATTTCCTTGTTTTCTGGATTACATAACCGACCTTCTATTTTATGGACTCATGTCGGTCATTAACTAATACGAATCCAGTTGCAATGTTTTAACGGAAACGCTCCAACCGAGCGTCCGACACTCCCAAAAATATCGGACAGACTCTAGACTCATCTCAACCACTCATTCTTTACGTTAAATCTTATCCACCTATTTCTCAGCCTCCACCGACACCGTCTCTTGCTCTACCTATTCTTCAGACTCGCGTCCGTCCCACTCCGTCCCGTCGCACCACCCTTACCCACCACGTCCCGTCCCTCGCCACGCCGCACCCCATCATTGACCGCCCACGCACGCCCATCCCCTGTCGCGCCCCACTCCACCTCGCCTGTCGCGACCACAGAGTCACCAGGCCACCACCAACCCGACGCCACTAGTAGGAGGTCATCGTCGGCCGAGACATCGGCTCCGACGGCCAACCGAAGACACCATGGCAGGAAGGGAAGTCCTGCAACGGAGGTGTATGCTGGGCCGTTGTTCTGGACGTCCTGTCCCGAGCTTACTGGCTACCGCAGTTCCACACAAGGTAGGCCATGGCCACCGGCGGCGCTGTGTTTAAGTGTTTCAGGCATTTTCAAACATGTTGCAAGCCTATGTTTTAAGTGTTTCAGTTATTTCCAGATGTATGTTTCAAGTGTTTTATATTGATGTTGCAAAAGTAGATCGGGATGTTGCATATGTTGCAATGGTTGTACACTTATGTTGCAAGCGTATGTTCTCAATATTTCATCTATTTTTCAAATATATGTTGCAAATGTGTTTATCTGGATATTGCATATGTGTCGGTGTTTTTGGACCACTGACGAGTAAATTTGTATTTGCGCGTCTGGCTCGGATAGTGTGCTCGGAGGACACAAGGGTTTATACTGGTTCGGACAGAACATCCCTACGTCCAGTTTGCTGCTGCTCGTGTTACCGGCACTTGGTTTGCAGTAGAGGTTACAAACAGGCGAGAGAGGGAAAGGATCCCAAGTCTCTGATGGAAGGAGTGAACAGATGCTGCTCAGCCGTGTGTTCGTGTCGTGCTCTTGTGTTTTTATCTCATGGTTCGGCGCTTTCATGGGGTGCCCTGCTTCTCCTTTTATAGGCAAAGGGAAAGCGCGGGTTATAACGGAGAAAAAGGAGAAGAACGAGAGAGAGGAAGGCCTTCAGAATTGCCGGGTCCTTCTCCTTCATGCGGGTCCCATTGATCCTGTAGATGTCAACAGGGACGGCTCCACGTTTTGGCCTTGTTCGTCACTGGCGCCATGCGCAGGCATCATCTGTCGGTCATGGCATTCCATTTCATCCCGGCGGACCATGGTGAACTGACGTGTCTGTCAGCGTTCGTACGAGGGTTAGGCAGAACAGCACTGGCACACCCGACACTGTTCTTGATGTGAATCCTTAGGTATGGCCCGTCATGGCCATGAGTTACATCGAGGCATGTCAGTCTCCTCCCCGGTGTCAGAGTTTTGACCCAGGCCCATACTCTTGGACCTGGAGTGGTTGGCGGTGGTATGGGCCCTTGTCGGACGAGACAGATCACAAACCCAAGGGGTCGGGCGAGATGGAGCACGAACCCAAGGGGTTGGGCGAGATGGAGCATGAACCCAAGGGATTGGGCAAGACGGAGCCCGCACCCAAGGGATCGGGCAAGACGGAGCACGAACCCAGGGGGTGAGGCGAGATGGAGCCCGCAGCCAAGGGGTCAGGAGAGACGGAGCCCGCGGCCTCAGGGTCGAGCGAGACGAAGCCCGTGGCCTCGAGGTCAGGCGAGAAGGAGCCCACGGCCTTAGGGTTGGGCAAGACGGAGCTCGCGGCCTTGGGGTCGGGCGAGACGGAGCCCGCGGCCTTGGGGTTGGGCGAGACGGAGCCCACGGCCTTGGGGTCAGGCGAGACGGAGCCCACAGCTTTAAGGTCAGGCGAGACGGAGTCCGTGGCCTTGGGGTCAGGTGAGGCCTTTTATTACGTCTTGCTCCATCTAGAGAAGTCAGCATAGGCGCTAACTTCCTTGTTTTAGGTATACCTAATATCGATACCCAACAGTAGCCCCCGAGCCTACGAAGGAGTAGATACTCCTTTGAAGGCTTTTCTGGATGGGAGGACTCTGAGAGCCTTGGCCTTCTTTTTGTAGCCCACGGCGTGTCCTGGTGGGATGGTTGTTCCCTTTTGTCACGGTTGGTCCTTTTGGGGGTATGTAACCATAAGATTCGGGAGGTCGGAAAGATTTTTCTTGATTCTGGTCCCTTAGGATCCGATCGGTCCGTTGTCATACTGTGACCGCGCGTTCGGTCTCCTTACGAGTCCAACTTTCCTCGAGCCCCTGTGCGTAGCAGCTCTGGATCCCTTCTTACCTATGACAATTCTTGGCCCATTGAATGGGCGAACCGTCATCCGGCGTATCCTTCGAGGGCGCGGCTAGAGATAGCGTGGACGTGATCTTTGGAGGGAGGTGACGTGACACGGCACAGCGGGCACATGAATCTAGGCAGACGGTTTGCCTTCTCATCCTGCTCCGCCCTAAAAATAGCGGCCTCTCCCTTTGCGTTCCTACACACCAAAACTACAGCCTTACCTTCTCTGTTTCTCCGCTGCCGCTGTTCGGATCTGCCGTAATTGGTAATTCGCCACCGGAGCCCTAGATTTGTAGCTTCCACTTCTCCGCCACTACCTTTGCTTCTCCACAACCGCCTCCCTCCTCCAAGGATTCGTGGTACCGCTCCGATGTTAACCATGCGCGCATGGAGAGCCTTGTCAAGCGTGGTCTTCTCTGTGGGAGGACCGATGTGGCGGAGTGGCTTGTGCCCAGCCGTGAGGATGCGCTGACGCCGCTCGATGGCTACGTCGTCTCCTTCATGCTCTTCCACAAGCATGGACTTGCGGTTCCTCCTCACCCATTCTTCCGGGGTCTGCTGCACCACTATCAGATCGAGCTATAGCACTTGAACCCCAATAGGATCTAGCACATCACGGCCTTCATTGCGATGTGCGAGGAGTACCTGGGGATCGAGCCCCACTTCGAGCTCTAGAGATATTTCTTCTCCATCTCCATGATCAAGAAGAAGGAGAGAGGCTGGGAGATCCCGGTGCCGATGGGATGCGCGGGCATCCACCTTTGGGGCAGTGGGTGGCTGAGTACATGCCTTCCTAGCTCTCCAAATCTAACAAGGGGTGGCACTCGCATTGGTTCTACCTGAAGAACGACCCTGCCGCTCCCTTGACGATCTTCTCCGGGCGCCTGATTGAAGAGGTATCACCATCATCGCTGTGGGGGGCACCCCGTCAAGGAGAAGAAGAGGATGCACGACCTCCTCGAGGCTATTGCATTCCTAAAGACACACGGCCTTCGTGGGGCTGGTGTCATCACTGGGTATCATGCAAGGAGGGTGGCGCCGCTGATGGCGTGCGTCCTCCCGCTGTACGGGATAACGCCCGACACGTAGCTCATCGGGACAACACTCGCCTAGGGGC